CAATGGTACAAGTCAAAGTTTTTTTTTTAAATTATGTGATATTAAATTAATAAATATATATTAATTCACATATTGTGTTTATAATAAAAAAATTTTTAAAATCATAAAATACTACATTATATTATACAAATAATTGTACTAAAATATATATATTATACGTGTATCATTTTCAATTTCTTTTTTTCTTTTTTTTTTGGAAAATAGGCAATGGAATATCATTTTCAATTTCCAATTACCTTTGTCAGAGATGTATTAAAAATTGAAAACCACATGAGCCCCTCCATCCATGCAGAAAATGGGTCGTTGATGATGGCTCAAAGGCCTCAATCAAACTAGCTCAAATGGGTCAGACACCTGATTGGGTTCAGGTATTTTTCTTTTAAATTTTTAATCATCACCAAACATTTGGTCCAAATTAACAGTCTGGCCCATTACCTATTTTCAAAAAAATAAATAAATAAACAACAGTCTGGCTATTCGATCCAATGGTCTAAAATGGGTCATACTGGTCATACTCCTTGAACTATATCCCCTCTTTGTGAATAATTCTACCATACTAAATATTGTGATTATTGGCAGAAGAAAGCAGATTGTGCTATCTTTTTTTCGGATCGGCAAAGAAAAATATTTTTATTAATGTGAAGTATAAGGAGTACTCCAATTTGTTACAAAATTTTGAGTTACATCATTTCATGATTTTATGATTCTTATTCCCTCGTAAGTGGCATCCCTCACCAAGAAAAGTGCAAAGGATCAGATCTGCTTCCTGCACTTATTTCATCCCAAAACAGCTTTCTTAGGTGTGTTTGACCTCATTTCCAAGCATAGGTCTGGTCTTTTTAGAGCTCTAAACAGATTGTGCTAATTAGTTCAAGAGTAGAGTCATTGGATGGGGATGGCCCTAACTTTCCCTATCGATAGTAAGTATCATGCTATTTAATATCATTTAGACTATTTAACACTTTTTGCTTAATTCAATTACTTTATTAAGATCAAGTAGAAGTGTAACATACAGGCGCTACATAGCTGAAGTACACGTAATTATTTCAATTTTATTGGTAAGAATGGATCTGAACCATGCTTTTGAGTACCTCTATTGCCGTTTGAATGCAAATGACTCCCACAAAATCACAGCTATTACCCCTGAAAGTGGAGCTATCACCCTTAAAGGTGGAGCTTTATCCAGTGTTTGTGAACGGAGTGGTTTACACTTAACAAACACCTATAGTAAAAGCATATTTTTAACCTTTTACCTTATCAAGTTTAAAATTTTAGCGCTTTATTTTATCTTACAATAATTATAGTCTCTCACCTTATTAGATTTATAGGTTTTAACTCCTCACCTTATTTTAAGACACTTTTAACTACTCACCTATTAAAATTGAAAAAAATAACCCTCACTTTATAATATTTTGTTAATTTTACTAACTGATTATTAGTTGACAAAGTTTTATTTTCAACTAACAGAATTAATAGTCAGTATAAAGTGATGACTATTTTTTTTTATTTTAATAAGAAGCTAAAACTTATAAATCTAGTATGGTAAAAGGTTAAAAGTGTTATAATATAAAATGAGGATTAAAAACCTTCAAACTTAGTAACATGAGAAATTAAAACTACATTTTTGCCTAGAACTTAAACACCGATGCTATCCAAAATATATATATTTATATATATTATTTCGATTTTATGAAAATAAATGATGTCTCAAATCAGATCAATAAGGTTAGGGAATTAATTACAGCAATTAAAAGTTAGTGGCTAACTGTACCATGCTTAAGAGGTTCAGGATAACCTTCAACTTACCTTCTATAAATTCAAAATTGAATGACACTAATGTAGAAAACATAAAAACAAAGAAGAATTTCTGTATGAAAAATTGCTTTCCTTTAAATTTCATTAGCCAAATATGATGTCTACAAATCAAAAGACATTCACAAGGAAAGAAATGGTGGGATCAACAGGATGTCGACAACCAACTTACTAAAACGATGAGATGTCACAGTTTCGTGACAGCCAAAATCCCGAAGCCGGATGCATGTCTTTTTAGTGTAATAGCTTATCCATAGTCAGCTTCAGTATTAAAACTCGGTTAGAAAACTATGGTATTCATGCCATTCCTAATATCAGCATCCATTGCCACGCTTAATAGTCAACACGGAGTAAGTTCTCATATTCTGTTCCATTGAGGGTCTTGAATACTTCATCCCAGTTCTTAACATGTTCAGCCAATGGACCCTTGTGTATCTTAACCTGGCGGCTTGTTAATTCCAGTTGGGGGAGGCCTAGAAACTCCAGAACATCCTTCAGTTTCTGCGACAAAAGGAAGAATATCTATTGGGAGAGGCACACTTTAAAGAAGAATGTTAACACAAAAACAATAGCAGCATCAGTGTGGTCACAATTAGATACTACCTCAGTCCAACTTTCTATTTTTAAATCAACATTAAAAGCTTTGTTTCAATTTTACCCCTATTAGGCCTTATCAAAAACCTCTTGAAGGAAGAGAAGACTTCTTGATTAGTAAAACAACTCTTAAGGGTAAATTAATTTTTCTATAAATGCGCCAAAGAAAAGTGTGACAACTAAATTTGGACAGAGGTAATATAACAACATCCATAAGGCTTCTCTACTTTGTAGGGTTCTCATGATTGATCTAACAAATAGAATAAAATGCCATCAAATAGAATGAGATGTCACAGTTTATCAAGAAAACATTACCAAAAATTTTGGAATAACTGGAAGCTGCAAGACGAGAGCAAGAGTTTTGAGAAGAAAATACATGTCTGCTATGATTTTGAAAATATAAGTAAACTGTGTTTTAAAAAGCATTGTTCATATCAGCTAGAAGTACTGCAAATATTTCCTGAAAACCTGCTATCATTCATACCGTGTGGTTTGTAACAATGTCCTCATAGTATACAATGAGATGACGGGTACTATTGAAGTACTCCAAAGCCTTTGCAGCTGTCATTTCCACATTCTTCAAATCACTCATCAATGATTTTGAATTGATTGTTGGTTTGTAACTTGAGAGTGCATCAGCCTACAATAGGGCACCAACAATAAGTTTTGAGACATCAGAAATATGTGCGCACGCGCGCAAGAGAGAGAGAGAGAGAGAGACTGACCTCTTCCTGCGAATGCACATGAGACTTGTGGGTTCCATTTAATAGCTTAGCATAGCGATCATAGGAATTTGCTAGCACTGAAACCATCCTCCGAAGCAGATTTCTGCGGAATAGAAATATAGCAGAAACACCCCTACGATTGAAGTAGTCTACTATTTCTCTATGGTGCTCCATCAGGCCCTTCATAAATTTTGATAGCAGAATTAAGATCATTTAACGTTCCATAGAATAAACATTAAGATCAATTAAATGGATAGAGTACTAAATAAAAAAAAGTAAGAAGCATTCTCAAGAAAAGTTTCAGCTTGTTAAGATGCTGACATCAACAGGTTCTAAGAAAGCTAAGATATAAGATAACCCAAGTTCCTGAAGTTCAAATAATTCATCCCATAACTTAGCATATATGGCATGTTTAGAAACAAGGGGGTTGGCAGAATCAATATATTGAAGAAGCAACTTTACTTTGGGATTTATCAAAAACATAGTCTGCAAAATCTAATGGTGTTGGTTGGGAATAAAATTTAACTTGATAAGTTGAAAAGCAAAAATAAAGTGAACCTTTTAAGCTTTCCACCAGAAACAGAATCAGCATACAGACATTAACAAGAGTGTTCAACTCTATATCAACCCTTTTTTGGATAAAATGTGAATTCTATTTATCTAGACTAAGGTACAAAGCAGTACATACAAGACTGTCATCAATTAAAAAAAAACAATTATCCATTGACAAGGTTTGTTGACAACACCCACATGGCATCAAGCAAGTAGATGCATATCAATTCAAGCATCCCAAATGTCAATGAGTCATTTTTCAATTAAAAAGCAGTAAACATAAGCTATTGAACTAGCTTAGTCCCTACAGCCCATTCAAAACTTCAATTTCTAGCAATCTACAATGCAACAGCCAACAGGTGAATGCCTAATCTAATTGGATAATACAGAGGAATGGCATTGCTTTTATCTACCGAGGGTCAGTTAATGTTTGCTAATTTTGGACAAGACATCATTCTTTCATATTATAGCAATTGCTAACAAGTCAACTGATTAATTGACCTCAGAACTGGAGGCTAAATTTCACGTTCTTTAATAACAGTGAGAAGTTAAAATACATTCTGAATTCAGAAACATTGTTTACCTGATTGAGCATCCACTTGAAGCCAACAGCAGCAGAACAGTCATTCTTGGAAGCACTAGTAAACCAGTCTAAATTGTAAACTTTATCCAGAGTCTCTACAATTGCAGAAATATTTTTCCTCCTATCCATTGCTGAAAATATCTCTCCGTTTGAGCTTACATTAACATGACTATTTAACAATGTCTCAAACCATCCACTCCCAGATCTCTGCATTGACAGTAGGGCAAAAAATCGCACCGGATTATGTTTACACTCAGCCCTGTTAAAGCATCAAAAGAAAATCTTCAACAAAATTTTATGTACCCAAAACCCAGAAATAAAAACTAAACATCCATGGTTAATTACCTGCTAAATGTTTTGGGTATAGGGTAATGCAGGTGAGGAATTTGCCTTGCAGGATCTTCAACAGGACTATCTGGAGGAGGCTTCTCAATAACTTGGATATCTTGCAATTTAATCACAGTGACAGACCCTATCTGCCTTAAACAGACGGAGCAGATACAAACGCCACACACCATTGCAAATAACAAAACTATAGTCCTTAAGAACACTGTAGATTTCTTAGGAGGCTTTATAATTAGAGTCTCCTATACACAAAAAATAACATGTATTTACTAAATTGTCATAAAAGAATAAAATTTTTTATCACAATCATAATTTTAAGACAAAATCATAGTAAACCTGATCGGAACTACGCCTCTACTAAAAAAGAAAGGTGTCTGAAGAAATAACAAAGAGAAAAATTAAAGGGAAAAGCTACATAGAAACAAATTAGAGCATTCTCCTCAAAACCCAGAGGAACAAAAATTGAAGAAAAAAGAAATGCAATGGTGGTTTCAAAATTGGAGATAAAAGGAAACACAGTAGCTCAAATTGCAGATACAAGTTTGAAACCCAATGACAAAAAGATGAAAAACCCAGATCCAAACATGCAGGGAGGTAACCAAAGCATTCTCCTTCCGACCCAGAGAAACTCATAATCTTCCACGCCCATCAATCATTCACAAAAGTGAAACAGCCACTTAAAAATTGCAACTTTGAGTGAGAAATTAGAGAACAAAATGCAAAAAAATTTTCCTCAGACCATTATCATACTCCAAAGCCAGAAATAACACACACCCATTACCCAAAATTTCAGCATTTTTCCGGCATCCCGGACAAACCCACTTCTTTTTCATGAAACTGAGAGGAAAAGTAGAAAGAAATGCATAGAAAGCAGAGAGTCAAGGAGTACCTTGTTGAGGAAATAGATACACTCCGCCATTGCTATTTGCAGTAACAGAACCGAAACCCGGAAGAAAAAAAACTGAAGGTTACTCTATACAGAGCATACTTACAAAGCAAAAGAAGTTAATTTGTAACAATCCATCTACTCTACTTTGGAAAATCAACCAAAAAAGGCCAGGAAAGTAAAAAGATACAAAAAAGAGTAAAGGAAGAAGACAAGGAGAAGAGGGGGGAAGAGGGGGTCTCCCTGGATTTGTTGGAGCTATTGGTTGCCTCGTGGAAAACAGCCGCTCATGGTTTGCATCGTAATTTAGTAGTAGTCCAAGTAATAAAGATTTTCCTTGTTCTGTAACACAGAGGAAATGTGGATGACGCTTTTTGCCCGAAATACGGCATTGAACAGCGCACCAAAGTGGAATCCAAAAACCAAAATGCACGGCCTAAGGCGCGTTTGGTGATCTGAGCAGAATAGTTCTCTGCTTGACTTTTGACTTCCGCATTTTTCTTTATATTTCATATTCATTGTCTTGGACTAATAAAAAAATAAAAATTTATCAATTGCTTAATGTTTATCCGAAAATGACACCATCTAGACTTTGATGTCAAACAAAATTGTAAATTTATATCAACAATTTAAATAATTGTACGTTAATCTTTTTAAAAATAAAAGCAGGGCTTAACTTGAGAGTGTGAGTTATAATTATTGTTATGGGTTTTTTAGTTTAATATCTTAAAAACATGGAATATATTTAATGTATATTTAATACTATGTATATTTTAATTAA